TGCCAGCCCACTTCTTCTGCTTGGTTGTGGCTGCAAGGGAGCAGGAGGCCGAACAGTATGCTGGTGCCATGGCTGCAAGGTGAGGCAAGGGTCGGGACGTGGTGGCCTGGCTGCAGGGACCCTGAGATAAGCTGGTGTGGGGCACGTGGGCAGTTCCATGCCTGCCTCGTGGTGGTGGCATTAGCACGTCACGTGGCCTTCTGCCCTGCCGGAAGCAAGCAGGAGTTGGCCTCCCGTACATGGGAAAAAACTAAGCCACCCACCAAAAACAAGCCCTAGTACATATTTTGATGCCCAAAAGGAAATAAGATCCAGTCTTATTTTCGGGGAAACACAGGCATGTGAATATGACAAAGCAGCACATGAAGTCAGTGTATCCTATAATGGACATGGGGATGATTCGGATTAATTAGGATTCATTGTGTATTTTTTTCAAATCTTTTTCCACCTCAGTTCTTTGTAGGAAGGGAGAATGTTTATTGTGCACATATCTGGCTTTCTTTCTACATCTGCCAACATAAGCCTTGATGTTATCTTCATTTTTGAATCCTGATAGATATAATCAGATTCTCAGTCCTTCTAGCACCTCATGCCTTGTAGATGTTTCAGCTCTCATTAATCACAGCCAGCCATGTTCTTCAGCACCGTTTTACACCTCTTGTTGGCATGGATGGTTGTTTTCAATACTATGTAGTGGCAGCTGGATACTTGTGCTCCACTACGAAACTGTGATTGGGCTTGATAAATCAACATTTTGCTTGAAAATTAATGAGTAGTTACTCATTGGCCTCTCTTCTCCCTTTCTCTCCCTCATGTTTGCACCACAGAGGCCTCTCCTCTCTCCTTCTCTCCCTCAGGCTGGCCCCACTGATCCTCTCCTATCCCCTTCTCTCCCTCAGGCTTGCCCCATAGAGGCCTCTCCTATCTTATTCCCTTCTCTCCCTCAGGTTTGCCACCCAGAGGCCTCTCCTCTCCCCTTGTCCCCCGCAGGCTGGCCCCATTGATCCTCTCCTATCCCCTTCTTTCCCTCTGGCTTGCCCCAGAGGCCTCTCCTATCTTATCCCCTTCTCTCCCTCAGTCTAACTCCATAGCATCAGAGCATTTTTCAGGCGGGGAGGGGGAGTAGAATGTCTAAACTCCCAGCCCACAGGCTGGATTAAAAAAAAAAAAAAAGTCAAGCTTTTTCCTCCCATAGCAATTGTGCCATGCCTATCAAGGATAAGAACATGAGGTACTTTCAAGGTTCTAAGCACCAGGTGGATGATCAACCCTGATACAGTAGGGACATGAAAGGTCTCACTGGGTATAGAAAACAAATGGAAAATGCCTCTGCAGCAGGGAAAACGTGAGCGATGGGTGTAAGAAGAGCTGACTCCTCCTTGCCTTCTCCTTCAGGTGACGCAGCAAATGGCAGGGATGAACTTCTGTGGCACAAATGGAGTGATGCGCTATGGACAGTCAATGGGCAGAGGGGGTGCCCCAGAAACCAATCAAGCCCTCAGTTCCCAGGTGTGGAAATAGTGCACACAAACACGCACGCCCCGGATCTGGACCATTTTCTCGTTCATTTTTAGCTTCGGCTCTTTTGGGTTTTTTTCCCCAGTTCTGTATTAAGCATCAGTTACTCCCTGATGTTATGTTTTTGACTTCCCTTGCTGGTGAGTCTCAGACGGATATTCTACTTGTGAAGGGAGATCTACTCGGCCAATTTCCCACCTCGTGTTCAAAGCACTGACGGAATCGTTGCTACTTTGGCTCACCTTGTCCATAGGCGAGCGTGTTTTTTTTTTTTTAACAGGGTGGACCGAAGATGGCAGGTGGCCATTCTGGTCAATGCAACCATCGTTTCAAAGCCTGTTCTGGGATTGCAAAAGGAATGGTCATGATGGCTCATGTGACCTTTGCATCTTTAGTTGTGGCTTCACCTCAAGGCACTTTGTATTTTAGGACTTTGGCACCAAATACTCTTGGTTTTTTTTTTTTTATTCCACCAATACATTCCATGATTTCTGTGGTGTTTTCCAAAACTACTTCAAACGTGTTAGCCCATCAGCCTTCAAGCACAATTCTGCTTCTTTTCTGAAAGTGAGTTGGGAGGAAACATACCTCTTAAAAAGCAGCTGCTGCTCATTTAGTCCTGGCATACTTAAATGCTTTTATTTCCTTTCTCCCTATTTTAACCTTTGAAAGATTTAGCCTAGCGTTTCTCCAACTTGGCGACTTCAAAATGTGGGACTCTCAACTCCCAGAATTCCAGTGCTTGCTGGAGGATTCTGGGAGTTGAAGTCCATATCTTGAACTTCTTAAGGTTCAGAAACACTGCATTTAATGGATAAAGGTCCAGAGCACTGGCAAGTTTTCGTTTGGATTTGTCCTCCCCTGTGTAGCTCCTACAAACGCTCAACTGGCCCGGATGATGACTTTATCAGAGGGAGAAAAACCAAAATTTTCAGAGATGGGAGCCAATCTCCCATCTCAGTCACTTCACAAAGACCGTGATCACCCAAATCCACAATTTTGAAAGATTTTGTAGCACAAATAACAGCCAGGCAACCTACTTTATCTTGTGTATATGTAAATTCGTTAATAAAATGCTGCCGTGAAACTCTTACCTTCTTTGTCCTCGTATAAATACTCATGTTTAAAACAAATGGAGATAACTTTTTTCTCAAATTTATTGAAAGGCTTATCGTGAATGCCATTAGGTTTCAACTTATTGCTACGGGACTAATCCAGTATGTTGTTTGCAATGCTACCTCTCTGAATCTCTGCCTGCTGAATAACACTTAGAAGTTGTAGGATTCAAAGCAGTGGTGAAATTCAATTTTTTTTACTACCGGTTCTGTGGGTGTGGTTTGGTGGGCGTGGCAGGGGAAAGATACTGAAAAATCGCCATTCCTCCTTACTCTGGGGCCAGCCAGAGGTGACATTTGCCGGTTCGCCAAACTACTCAAAATTTCCGCTACCAGTTCTCCGAACTACTCAAGATTTCTGTTACCGGTTCTCCAGAACCTGCTGGATTTCACCCCTGATTGAAAGGCATGGTACTAAGTGATCTACCTCCACTACTCGACGCTAGTGAATCCCTTTGCTGCTATACAAAGAAAAACAGGGCATTCTGCACTGGGTGGCATAATATGAGGAAGAGACATGAGGTTTCTCAGTAATAACCATTGTGTCTCCTGGGTTAAACTGATAATTTATTAAACTTGCATGTCATCCATCAGTCTCCAATTGTACAAAAATAATAAAATCCCAGAATGAGATACTTCGTTATAAAGATTATAGAGGCATGTTTAAACACATTTATTTGTCTGATTGAAAATTGCAGGTATAAGACTGAAATGGTTAAAAAAGAGGAATTTGTTCCTATGATATATAGGCTGGCAATGCTATTTTTTCATTTATATGCCCGATGCATTATCTTTTCTCATAATTTCCCAGGTTTTATTTCATGTAAGTTAAATTTAGAAAAAAACATGTTTACGTTAGTCTTGCATTCCGATTATATATTTTCCAGCTCATATCTGATCGGTATGCCTAAACACTATTTTTCTCCAGAAAACACCACTAACCTATCTCCTGCATTATTGTATTTACTCAATACAATATTTTTTTTTGCAATTCCAAGTTCATCCTTCCCTTTGAACGCTTGCATTCCAAATACTGATCAATACTGCTATATGCTTTCTTTTGCAATTTTATAGAAAATTCTTCAATGTCATCTTCCATTGCACAACCTTGTGCAAGATTTTATTGCTTCCTGGATATCCACTCATTCCAACAGACATAATCCTGTTTATTGAGCTACAGCTGTGAGCACATACTGGGTAATACCCTTTTGGAGTATGATTGCCACTCCATTTCTTTCAAAAATGGCAAAGTGACTATGTACATTAATTCACTAAGATATCTAGTTTGGTTTATTTCATCTTCACCATGTCAATTTCAGCTTCCCCCCTCCCCCCAACTAATGTTTCTCACACCCCTCTTCCAGGTGCAAAACAAGAGACTTCTCAGGAATGGCACCATCTGTGATCAGACTTTTCTGCAGCTTTAAGCTGGCCATGCCATCACAGTCTGATCTACTTATCAAAGTATATGACGTTCTTCCATAGTAACTGAAGAAACCTTCAGGGTTTCACAAATAGTTTAAATGTTTAACATAGACATACAGTTTTCCTAGCAAAAGGAAGGGGTTTTGCAGTACTTTTTGGATTTCATTTTGCGGTTCCTTCTAAGTGAGTTGGTTTCCTCTCATGCCCTACATAGCTCTACCTGCCTCCATTCCCTTTGTCTTACCAGCAGTGAGGGCATGCCAAGAATGTATGCAGCAGCAATATTCTCAGGATCATTTTTCCCAATATACTTGGCTGACACGCAAACACATACACCCCTTCCATTGTTTCAAGTTGCCAGTTGGCTTCTAGAGATGATTCAAGATGCCGAGTGTCAATTTTAAGGCCTCCTGTGACTCTAGGCCTGGTTACTTGAGGCCCTGCCTTTTGTATTTATCTGCCCAACCAGATCAAATAGGACCAATCCCCTGCAGATACTGTCTCTTTGAGATAGCCAACTGATGAGGCTTTCAGAACCAGGTTCCTTTCTTTTTTGGAACTCTCTACATTTGGTCCACTTCATCCTTCTTGAAATAGAGGGAAATGGTAAACTGAAGGTGAGGTTCGTGTGCGTGGCATTTCTATGGTCGGTTGTTATGTCAATTTTTTAATATGTATTTTGAGTCTTGGGTATGTTGACACTGTTAGGCACCCAGAATCTCTGGGAATGGGTGCCATGCGGGGACAGGAAAATTAACTGAGCATACACATACAGTACAGGGATGGGATTCAAAAGTTTTAGCAACTGGTTCCCTGCCCAGTTGCTGGATGGGTGTGGCTATGGTGGGCGTGGCCTACTTGGCCTCCTGCACCATGGCGGGGAGGGGCGTTTTTGCCCTCCCCAGGCTCTGGAAGCTTTCCTTGAGCCTCTGGGAGGGTGAAAACGGCCTCCCTTGGAGGCCGGTAATGGGCCCACTTCCGGTACTTCCAGGAGGCCCGTTTTTCACCCTCCTAGAGCCTCCATGTGGGCCCTGCACTTAACCTGGCATCCAAAAT